TTTGGCTTTTTAGTTTTGTTTCTGTAATTCTCAGACCAAAAAGAAAAAAACGATCTCAAAACCAATGAAACTCTCACCTTCACTTTAATGAGGCCTCAATGGCAATCGACCACAGAAGGCAAATCCCCAAGTTAGTAAACTGTTATATATGAGATGCTCAGGCCTATCAAGCAACCTTTTTCTTTTCACGCAAACTGTCGTCCGTTTGCAGCGCAGAGAAGATCAAAGTTCTGAGTAACGGTTGGACATCATAATCAAACGCCATTAAACGTAGAACGACCTGAGCGCGCGCACACGTCAGACAAAAGTTCCTACAATAGATCCCCTTGGATACTTCAACTTTCGAAGACCACGTGATCAAAAAAGGAACGCAGTGCTTGGCTGGAGAAAAGAATGAGAAATGTTTTTTCTAAATCACTTAGAATCCGCACCGAGAGAAGAGCAACATAAAACAAAATATTCAGCACCACGACGCGAGTAGAGATCATTTCAAGAGAAAAATACAAGGCACTCTGCGTCATTAAGGTTGAGGATGTTTGTATAAAATACCCCTTCAATGTAGCGTTTTTAAGATGCACATAATTTCTGAAGACGACATGATGTTCATTACACCTTCATAAAAGGTTGCCGATTTTTCTTCAGAATAGCCTGCGTAGCAAGCGTTTCCGTTTGGTTTCGGATCAAAGAAAGACCGAGGAACGGGATTCTCGGGTTTGGCCGCGCGAGAAATGAAACACGAGCCATAAAATGCTCCTAAACCGCACGGAAACGCTTGCTACGCAGGCTATCAGATGGTAATGTCGCTTCAAGTGATCAGTAATGACTTGGAAATTTACCAACCACTACAAGAATGAATTTGGGAATATCTTTACTTCGGGGATGTTTACAGACTCAATCGTTGTCAGGTCAAAAGAGCCTGGCTAATAGAAACACCAATTTGGATTCCAGTTCCAAGGGTTCCTTAACGCAGGCAATTTACCTCGATTATGTGGCGATTTAATTGCGATTTTAAACCTTTTTGTCGCGGGAAAAACTTATTCGCGTAGTTAGATTTATGGTTCCTCTTGAGCAGAAAACGTTCAAAAATTGCTTCAGAATTCGAGCAAGCTCGAAACAGCGGCGATTTCACGGCGGTAAATGCCAACCAGATTGGCGTCAGTTGAGCTCAATTTCTACACGCGCGATTTTATAAGGTACCAAAAATCATAGCATATTACATGTAAAATTGCTTGAATGCCTTACTGGCTTTATCGTCCTGGCCCCATTTGATCCAGACGTTGGAAAACGCTATCCACCGGATAAATCACCATTCAGCGGATACGACAGTAGAGAAAGAGGCAGGTCGTACAACTGAAGAAACACGGCAAGAAATATTTTTGTGAGCCCTGGCTCACTGGATATGTTTTGAATATGGACCTTTATTAGCAACAAAATATTGTGATAGAAAAAGTTAACTTTTGCGCGTATGATCATTGCTGTTTGCCCATCTCAGATTCTCAGGAAAAGGTAATTTAGGAGCACTCGTTTTTTTTTTTATCAGTCATTTAGTTTTTTAGTTGTAGAAGTTTGCGCATAAAAGGCTGCAATTAAATTATTTCGGTTAAAAGACGTTAGCAGAAAGTTAAATGTTCTTCAAATTTCAATGAGCTATTTTTTCGTGAATTTTGTTCCACTTCCGGTGTACTCTAGGCGGGACTCTAGGTTTGCGTGCGACGGTTTCAAACACTATAAATCAATAAATGTACTGTAAACACAGGGAACCCGAACGCTGTATTAGCTAATAGAATAATTAAATGCATTAACGCTGTATTATTAGCTAATAAAATAATAAGATGTATTTTCCTGTGTTCCTGTGTCTTTATGAGTCGTTTTAGAAGGAATTTGAATCCGATCAGAGACGGTTAACATTGCTGGTTATCAAATGCCTTTGCTTGTCTGGCCTACTTGTCTCACGTCGTTTATAATATCCTACTCAGCCTCATTCATTAACTGCTAATTATTTTATTAGCTAATAATACAGCGTAAATACATTTAATTATTCTATTAGCTAATACAGCGTTCGGGTTTCCTGTGGTTTAGGTAATTAAGATTTTGACAATGGCCATTTGAACGATTTTTCTCTTAGCCTGCAGTGCAGCCGGCCACGCCCGGGCGGCCACGTATCGCATAAAGTGTCTGCGCGCAGGCTAAATTCTCCAGGAGAGGGACAACAATCGCCCCAGACAGCAAAAAATGGCACTCGAAGTCGTCTAGATATTATAAAATCGTAAAAACGTAATCTCGTGCGCAGTATCTAGCAAATCAGTGACCAAATGGTTTTAACGACAGATAGAATTCATGGCATGTCAAAATTTGATGCTTTTTATGTACACTCTTTTTTTTCATAAGAATATATTTTATAAGAATATCGAGGCTGAAATTTGCGAAATTTTAAGAATATTTTAAGAATAAAGCCGAGGCTGAGATTTTGAAAAGGATAGATATAATTTTGTGTGTTGAAACATCTGTAAATACAATACAATTTTATGTTTTTAACTTAACCGTATAAAACTATTCCTTTCACTGAACGGCGAAACTAGCCAACTGAAAACGAAAAAACCTGCACTAGCTATAGCAAAATGTTCNGGCTGAAATTTGCGAAATTTTAAGAATATTTTAAGAATAAAGCCGAGGCTGAGATTTTGAAAAGGATAGATATAATTTTGTGTGTTGAAACATCTGTAAATACAATACAATTTTATGTTTTTAACTTAACCGTATAAAACTATTCCTTTCACTGAACGGCGAAACTAGCCAACTGAAAACGAAAAAACCTGCACTAGCTATAGCAAAATGTTCAACGCTAATGACAGTTCGATCAACCGAACGGTACATGTAACAGACTATGTACAGTATTCAGCACAAAAGACATAAACTAAACCTCGATAAACCGCAAAAAAATATTATGACAAATTCTTTCCTTTTTAAATAACAAAACCTAGCGAAAACAAAAACAGCAATAGGCTTTATTGCCTGCAGTTTGGCTCCAAAATTACTTCGACGCGATCAAAGTCATTCTAAGACGGGTAATCTGACGTTTTGTCGGCATAGTCTACTTTGTAATCCTTTTAACTCTCTGTTAAAATAAACAATTATTCCTGTGAACCATCCATTTTGGTACAGGGCAGTGACTTTAAACGGAAATGTCATAAGCTATATATAATTTAAGAATAATACAATAATATTTTCAGCCTAAAATCGGCAGAAAAATAAGAATATTCAGCCTGGGCCGGAAAAACAATATTCTTATTAAAGAAAAAAAGAGTGTAGACATGATGCTTTGGAAGTAGCAGGGCCGATTATTTATGTATTGGTCGATAGTACAGATATTACTCCCATCCAGGTTTAGTTTTTCAAAGAGGAAAGATCATATAATTTCAGCCTTAGCCCGAGCTTTTAACACGCCGATGGAATGCAGACGAAAGAGGGTTTAAGGCGATCAAAGAAGGACTAAATTGCCTCCAACAATTAGAAGATATGGCGGGAAGCGGTCAGAGAAGTCAGAGAAGGCGTTTCGTCGTGCGGGGAAGATCTGGAAAGGGTACTTGGCCTTGGTGTTTAGATTTTAAAGAGCGTTGAGCAGCCAGACTGTAAATGGCTTAATTACAACACCGTATTTTGTAACACACGGGCTAAATAACTGGCCCTTAAATGTCTAATAAATACAAGTAAACAAAAATAATACAACGGAAAATTTCCCAGCACAAAGTGCGTAAAATCACCGTCTTCTCGAAGTACAATAAATGTTAAGAGAAGCCACAAACTCAAATGTATTCTGGTTCGGCAGAAAGACTTCTAATGCGGCTAATTTATAAATGAGTTCTTTGTTGACGTACAAGAATCCAGTTGATGTGATAATTTGTCACCCCCAAGCAAATGAGCCGTAAAAAGTTGATTACTTCTACAGAGCTCCCCTGCTGATGTTCGACTATTGAATAGGTGAACATCAGCAGGGGTCTGCGATTTTAGCCGAGATCTCTATGAATCTCGTCGTGAGTAATACGGTAATTTGTGGAGGGGGACAGGGGGGCGGGAGCTCGGGAGAACAGGGGGCGGGAGGGGTACGGGAGACGGGAGAAGAAAGGGCGGGAAGCGGGAGAGAAATTCCAAAAGGACGTAAAAGGCAAGCTTTCGTTAATTGTTACTGCTCATCATCCAGTCAAAGAAACGAACCCAACAACGTTTCTTGACTTCCATTTAACGTTCTCCGAGGCCCTAAATCAAAATTTTAATGCGAGAAAAGTAAAAAAAACGTAATAGCTATTACACTGCACAGTGGACTGAGACTATTGTCGCTGTAGTGGTATGTCAGAAGCGGTGGTCAAACCTTTAACTAAGAAAACTGACTTGTAACAATTTTCATCTTTGGCAAATTACCCTACAGCTTTAACACTAAACCCGGGCTTCTGATCTTTTTAATTTACATGATGACGGGAAAAATACAATAAAGGGCGGGAGCCGGGAGACAAAGGAACAAAAAGGTACGGGAGGCGGGAGAACGGGGTACGGGAAGCGGGAGGTTGTCACACCCCTCTCCCCCCCAATTTGTGAAGCAGTTTTTGTCAAGACCGTGTATAAAAAGACGCCTACAGAAAAAGGCCAAAGTAAAACAGATTAATGAAATGAACGATATGTTATGTCAGTGTTGACATTTTTGTTATAAAGGGGATGAGTAAGTGTATCACGTAATAAAATGTATTATTATGAGTTTGACAGACTAAGGAAGTCGAAGGAAAATCTGCAAGTTGGCTTGAGGGCTTGACTTCAACACAATATAAACGAAAAATAACGTGTCTCTAGCTATTCTTTCTTTCCTGTCCTCAAACGGGTTTAGACTTAAGTGTATGATGCCAAGGTTTTCTTTCAGTCGGTTGTTCCGAGCATTACTCAGACTACTAAAGGAAGCTCCGTGGAAGTTACTTTTTCAGTTATAACAAAGAGACTCTCAAGACTGATTCAAGATGTCTGCGATTCGTTTCGTTGAAATCGCCTTGCTACTGTCCCTGCTTATAACGTACAGCTTCGCAGCACCCAAAGCTGTTGATCATGACTCCAAGGTTGACAAACTTGGTGAGTGTGGATCTGAAATATTTTTATTGGTGTGTCAGTAGAGCAATAAACTCATCTCAGGTACTGAGATCGGTTGACTCTTTTACATTTGAATTACTTTACAGATAAAATTCAGTTGAGTGGAAATGACGCAAACGACTTTCTGAACAATCCTGCCGGTAGCCAGCAGCAACGGCGCGGAATAACAGAAGAATGTGACGAAGGTTGTGATAGCGAGGAAATAGAAGAGTATTACGAAAATCAAAGGGGAAATACAGGCGGTTGGCGATAGGTGACTATCTCAAATCTGCTTTAGCGTTGCTTTCTTGGAATATTGTTCCTAATTTGTCTGTAACTGTTTTTACATTGCAGCTTAGACGCGAGGTCAACTTTTCAAGCGGATACGCAAGATCCCGCGAAGATTTCTTCCGTGGAACTAGCATCATAATGTAAAACGAAGCCACAGTAGACAATTTCCTGTTAAAGAAAGTATCCGTAAAAAGAATAAAAGGGCAAAAAAAGAAATATTTCTGTGTCAGTCCCTGATTATGCTTTGGAATATCTATACCATGTGTAACTCTGCCAGTCGAGTGAGATTAAACAAAAGCTCGAGAAGAGAGAAGAAATAGTTTGTTTCAGACTAACCGTCAGGGGCACCCAACGTCAATTTTTGGAAAATATCTGTTCGGGAGACGATTTGAGATATAAAATTTTCGGAACATTTGTTGTAAAAATTCTTGCTTGCCTGCCTCTCCTAGGATTTGCGAACATCTAAAGAATAGTATAATTGCCCATTTTTAACGGATTTTTACCCTAAAAAGGGTCACCTAGAATTTTCGGGAGCCTTTTTTTCTGGCTGAAATTTTCGAAAAGGTAAGTTTTGATCCCTATAATTTTCGGATCACTAGACTTTCAGCGAGTAAATCCAAACAGATGAAAACTTTTTAGGGGATAAAAATATGCCTATATCTACCGTATAAATACTAAAATACGTTCAACAATGCTATGTGTTAGTGGTTTTGAACAAAGTTTCGTTGGGTGCCCCTGAACCGTTTGCAAGTAACGAGGTCAAAATCCATCAAACATTAGCTAGACACGACTCGAACTCTGATTGGGTGTGCAATGTTCAATGATTTCATGAAATACACGAAATATTCTGAAGTTACTTCTCTTTACACTTCTATCTTTATCAGGAACACAATTGGTCGAGAAACCTTTTTCCCCAAATTTTATTTTCCCAATGGAATTTTGGCTCTTAAAATTGCTTCCAACAACAGCCTGACCAAAACGATCTCGAAGCGAGCTTGCCAACCGTATAGCCAAGTCCCCGGGAGATTTCAAGTGACGGGGATGATGATCGAAGGATTTTTTGGGGGTTTGTGATTTAGTAGCGATTTTTGGCGCAGTTAAACAGTCTGAACATTCGTGCCTGCGTATTCCGACTGCGTAGTTCTGCGAATAAAGCCAGCCAAATTAGTTTTGGGGCCGGTTCAAAAATTCGGCATGGGATTTTTGGGGATTAATATTTTTTCGAGGGATTTGTTTTGGCTTATGCTGGAAGCTCTGGGGATTTTGGGGGGGGCTTTCATTTTTGCCCTCATTCGATTATCCCCGTCACTTGAAATCTTGAGACCCCCCCCCCCCCGGGCAAGTCGAGATTAATTTTCCACAGAATGTCCGACTCGCTGAAAGATAAATCACACGAAAAATACAAGAAACAAAATATGTACTCACAAAAAAAAAATTCACCAAGGCTGTCTTGCACGACATTAAACCAAATAGCCTTTANCCCAACGAGAATATAGTTCAAAAGCACTTAAACATAGCATTGTTAAACGTATTTTAGTATTTAAACGGTAGATAAAGGCATATTTTTATCCCCTAAAAATTTTTCATCTGTTCGGATTTCCTAGCTGAAAGTCTAGTGATCCGAAAATTATAGGGATCAAAACTTACCTTTTCGAAAATGTCAGCCTGAAAAAAGGCTCCCGAAAATTCTAGGCGTCCTTTTTAGGGTAAAAATCCGTTAAAAATATGCAATTATAACATTTTTAAGATGTTCGAAAATCCTAGGAGAGGAAGGCAAGCAAGAAATTTTACAACAAATGTTCCGAAAATTCTAGATCTCAAATCGCCTTCCGAACAGATATTTTTCCGAAAATTGTCGTTGGGTGCCCCTGATATTTATCGAAGGATCTTGAACCAGTTTTCCCAAATTGCACAAGCACGTCTGTTTTTCCTCCACCTCTTATCCTCCAATCCTACGCCAGCAATTTCCCCCATTTAACAGTTTTTATGTACTAACATAGAAATGGTGATCCCAAAAAGCACTTCCGTTGGATGTAAATTAGTACTAAACCTTGATGGCAAACCTCATCACCCACTGCTTTCAAGAGTGCGCAAATCTCTGCTACCATTTGGCCAGGATTCAAGCTTTATAAGACCCATATGGTTTCCCGGGTCAGGATTAAAGATAATCACCATCAGGAAATGGTTTTTTTTTAAACTCTGCCTCCCTTTCAGAACGCAAAAAGCATCAGTCCGCCTTTTGACTAAACATTTCCTTGGAGAAGAAAGACATAATAAGTCTTTAACCAAAATTGTAACCGCCATGGTTTAAGAGGGAAGCCCAACAGCCGAACCTTTCAAATGACAACTTTCCATCCATTTGTCCAACCTCGTTCCCAGGGTAGCAGAGAACCCTGGGAACGAGGTTGCCATTTGTCTACACGGGTTTGTTTCTAAAGAAACTGGTAATGTAATAGTTGTAGAGTAAAACACAAGCATTTGAGGTGCGCAGTGTAAGTCGACGCTAGTCTTGTTAATTTCACCACATCAAGCCTCGTTAGTGGACAAAATCGTTCACAGTTCCATTGTTTGTACTTGAGTATTCGTTTTAACTGTGCTGGAAATCCTTAAAGAACTGGTACGAGGCTTCCTGGGCACGTGCTTGGCACGTGACTATCATATACTAATCTTCTTTCTAAAGGAAAAAGTTTTGTAAATACAATTTCCTATTTTGTCAATGTTCGAAGATAGAATGCTGAAAGTTTTTCAGCTTCATTAGAATATTTTTTTTTTCAAAATGTGGACAATTACACAGTTCCTTTTTTTAGAGCGTGTGATTTTTGCGGTCAGTGTCGATACCAAATTTGTTTCGGAGAAAGTTCCTTTCTATTTATGAAATAACTAATAGTACGCGCGTTCTGATTGGTTAAAAACCTATGGTTTATTGTGGCGGTAAACTCATAGGAAAAACAAAGGACTCCGTTTTTAAATACTTATAATTTTATAAAAGCAATAGACCACACTTTCTACAGGTTTACCGGCGTGATAACTCACTTGGGATGTTGGGAGAACACGAGAAATTCGGCTCGTGATTTACAAGCTTTTCAAGTAAACCCATCGAATGTGTGGTCTATTGCTTGAATATGACAGTCATTAGTTTTGTTTGCTGTCTGATATCAAGGGAGACCTTAAGTTTGAGACTTATCGCAACTTGCATTGATGTTGGAGCTCAATTCTGAGATAAAAAAAAATTCCTAATAATGTCAATTTATGCCTTTCAACTGTTTAAAGCTTTCCCGACTTTAACTTTCGTGATTGTAGTGAGAAAAACTGAGATCCATGACTTCATCAGTTCCCCGGCAACAGAATTAGGAAAGAAAAATAGAAGCAATATCTGTGTCATAATCTTTTTCCTTGCGTTAAAATTGCCCGAGGGAGAATTTGTCTGTAACAAAAAAAAACACTTCCTCTTCCGTAAATTGATTAATTTTATATCTAAACATATTTCAAGCTCAGTCACGGAACAAATACTTGCTCCCTAAATCGCCTCAGAAAGCAAGTTTCATGTTTGTTTCACTGAAATATGAATTGAATTAAAAAATCCTAAATCTGTATATAAAACTTGCGTGTACTAATTTCTTAACCCTCCCGGTTCGCTGCTTTCCAGAATTTTCGGAGCTTTTGTCAGATAAAATAATCTTGCAATTATTGTGTTTCGAATTGCCCCATTAAGACGGATACAGGCAGCGATTGGCTGCAGTGTTGAAATAATGTCAAGATGCATATTCATTCATATTTCAAAACACCGCTTTATTTACTCATCACAAGGCGATATTTGACAAGAAAACCAAATTAAAATTGAAACTCCTCACACGAATCCTAATATTAATCAAGAAGTTTGGATGTGGCGCGTCTAAGCGGTGACTTCATCTGCCAACAACCCAGTTTACTTCTTTGGAATCGTAAGTTTTTGATAAAATTAGCTGAACAGGAAAAACTCTTCCCAAATGATATTCAGCTTTAAGGGACAATTTATGGGAACTCTCTTGCTCCTAGCGTGAGGTTTCGAAAACTGCATCTCTGACAGCTCCAGCGTATCTAACAAATTGAATTATGCATGCGGATTTTTTGAAGAGTCATTGTGTCGCTTTTTGAAAACAGTAGCAGTAAACGTAATTTTTCCATTTTCCTGCTGAAAGATTTCTTTTCTTTCACATATCACAAGATTTTCTTAATATGCGAAGTGGCGGAAAGTGATTTTACAGATTTTAAGAACTTAACTTACCTAGAAAGCATAGCATTTTAGTGTGTCCACGCTAGCTTTTGAATGAAATAGTAAGAAATATTAAGCTCATAACTCCATAAAAAAATATACCCTAAATATAGCTCAGCAACTACGAAATAACTTTTAATATTATGTATAACATTTTCCCCTCACTGTCAAATATAATCCTTTGCTAAGCAGCTAAGTTTTGCGGCTATATATCAAATTGTTGCTAGTGGGCCTCGTTAATATATTTTTTATTTCTCCCGACATGACAAAAGATTTATCTACCGTGTTGAGGTTTTTGTTTGTAAACATAAATATATACTCCCAAATCGTGTCTGATTAGACACATTTAATGGGCGACTAGTTACACACAGTGAAATTAATAAGATTATTTTCCACCTTTATATATATATATATCTTTGTTTGATAGATTACGATCGGGAAATTTGCGCGAATTTTCGTTTTTCCCCACTGTGGCGCCAAGCCTCAAGGACTGGAGTATGTGTCTGGAATTAAGAGAATTGATGTTTGTACCGATGTGTCTTAGCGCAAAAAAGACCCCATTATCACAGAACCTGAAAATGCGATTTTGATGAATTTGCAAAGGACAGGTCAACGTTCTATCAAAACAT